CATGCGTTATTTGTTATTTATCGTTCCTTATGCGTTATTCCTCGGGGTAAAACATGGGCTTCGTTCCTTATTTATCCTTCCTTAGGTCAGGCCGATGACTGTATGGGAGGCGCCCGCGAGCTGCCACCCGAAGATGTCGGCGGCGGCCGCATCCCGCGCGCACGCGCCGCCCAGGCGCCGGCCGCGCCCGGCCCGGCGGCGCCGCCCGAGGCCAGGGGCCCCGCCGTCGTGGAGGTGGCGGGCTCCGAGGCCGCCCGTCGGCCGGCGAGGGGGCCTGCGGCCGGCGCCACCCCCACGCACGGACGTCGCGGGTCGGGCGGCAGGGACAAAAACGACGCGAAAATCGGGACAAGATCGGGTCGGGATAGCTCGAAGTCTCTGAGGATCGGCGGGTTTGGAGGATGTGTAGGGCGCCGCGGCCGCTCCAGAGCGTGCCGGAACGCTCTTGAGAGCGCTCCGGAACGCTCTGGAGCGATTTATCCCGATCCTGTCCCTCTAAGGGGGGGACTGGGAAAGGGGGGGTTACGAAAGCTGCTGCATGCAGCTGGTTTCGGTCCCACCGAGTGGCCCATTCCGACAGAGCCGCCTCTGGCGCCGGGAGGCGCCGGGAAAATAGGCTGCGTGAGCTGATTCTCAAACTCCCCCTTTGCTATCCCCCGCTTTCGCCCAGCCCGATAATACGATGTGTGCGTCCCTCCCCCAGGAGGGGGGGGGCGCGCACCGAGAAATCGGATGGTATGTGCTGTAAGCCGGGCCTGTCCCTCTACAGGAGGGATCTTCAAAAGTAGTCCAACAAATAATCCGGGGACGATCTGTTCACTATGTTTGAGCATTTGGGGACTACTGTTGGAGTATTTAAAATTTTTCTCCCAGAATCCCCCTGGAGGGGGACAGGCCCGACCTAATTACTACTGTGTGTGCGTCCCCCCCCCCCAGGGGCGGAGGCGCGCACTGAGAGATCTGATGGCAGATGCTCCGTGGTGGGCGCTTCATGGCCGCACCGCTCGGGAAGCGATATGCGACAAGATAGGTATGCGATATGCCGAGGAGGAGGGAGGAGGAGGAGGAGGAGGAGGAGGAGGAGGCCGGGTCGGGCGCGCGCCTCCAAGGAGGACATATACTACTAGTAGGACTCTGTGCGTCCCACTGCGAGCCCCACTCTCCTCTCCCCAGTGGGGTTTCGCTGGAGCCGAAGAAGACAAAACACAAGCAACATGAACTGTCGACGCTCCGAGCGGATTTCTTGGATCTGCGCTGGGCCCCCCTGGCGGCACCTCCGGCGCCGCCCCTGGCGCGCTCCGCACGCCGGGGAGAGGGGTCCAGCGCAGATCCAAGAAATCCGCGCGGAGCGCCAACAGTTTATGTTTATGCCGCTCTTTCTTCTTCTGTGGAGGAGACCCTGAGATCTGAGATCCCGGCGGTGTAATTTTTTCACAGGCGTTTTCTCGGGGCCCTCACAAATCGATCCGGCTCGAAAAATGCAGCGGACAACATGTGGTCAAAGGGTGTTTTTTCGCGATGCTGTATTTTCTTATTTGGCAATTTCGGATCTCTTGGGAGGGCGAGGGATGGAGAGGGGGGAGGAGAGGGAGAGTGAGAGGGCGGAGGAGGAGGAAGGGGAGGAGGAGAGGGAAAATGATGGATGGTGGGGGTGTGGTGATGGTGTTGGTGATGGTCCCTCAGCTCTTGGCGCTGCACGTTTTCACAACGGGCGCCTTCGCCCGGCTTCGGGCCCTGGGCGCCTCACAGATCAAGCCGGCTCAAAGAATGGCGCAGACATCCGGCGTCTCGAACAGATCGTTACGTTTTTATACTCGTTCGGCCTCCCGGGGGTCCTTACAGCAGGGCCTCGAGGTTGTTAAAGACACGACTCTGGATGAAAAGCCGATCCTTGGCAAGTGGTCGACATGTTTGGGGCGAAAAAGAATTGAGACGCCAGGTTTCTGGGTGTGTGTGTACTTTTTTCACGACGGGCGTTTTCGCTTAGTTTCGGGCCCCACGGCCCGCACAGATCGATCTCGCTTGAAAAACGGCGCAGTAATATTAGGTCCGGGGCTCCGGTCGTGGCCTGTCGCGATGTTGCATGTTTCCTGCAACGTCAGATCTCTGTTTCGCCAGAGGGTACTCATGGTGGTACAAATTCTTCACGCTTCGCGCATCCCCACCAGTGATCTCCACGCCACCGGGTTGGGAGTTTCCTTTCTGGCTCTTCTTCTGAGTGGCTGCCCGCGCGCTCGCTTCGCTTGCCTCTCTTGTCTTGCTGCCTAGTCGCGGCCCGACCAGAGTTCGGACGGCTTTCGACCCGCCTCGCGAGCCTGTTGACCAAAAAAGTATCCCCACCAGCCCGTTACGGGCCACGACGCTCGCTGCGGGCCACTCCGTCGTCGAGTGCGCGCAGACTAGTGGACGCCCTCCGGCACGGGTCTTGCGCTGCCGTCGGCCGGCTCCCACGCCACGTGCGGGTGACGGCGGGCAGCGGCGCGCACTGACGTTCACGACGTGCGTCCACTGGCGGCGACCTTCGTCTTGCCTTCCGCTTGCTTCTTCGCTACGCGCATGGCGAGCATGTGCACCACGGCTGTCTGGCTCTTCATCCAGGTCTGACGCCCCAATTCATTCACCATTTTGGTATGCATCGAGGCCCTCGTGGACCTCCTGGGCCTGGCGGACTTCCTGGACTTCACGGTCTCCGCCGCCTGAGCGACCGCGTAGCGCGCTCTGGTCGCCGGGGCTCCTTCTTAGGCCGTAATTTAGATCGTTGCGTTGTTGCTTCGCTTCTTGACGGCGCGCAGTTGCTCTGTGTCGCTCGCGAACAAAAAAGGATCCCCACCAGCCCGTTCAGAAACGTTGCCAGAGAGATGACGGGAAATGAGACGACGAGACACGTAGTGAAACAGAGCGGGCGACCAGGATGAACAGAGAGATCTTTGGGAGCAAAGGGGTGGCTTTGGATGACCTCTTCGGGCCATCCCTGAGGCCCGTGGGGGGGCGAGGGGAGGGCGAAAAGGAGGAGGAGGAGGAGGAGGAGGAGGAAGCAAACCGCCTCTTGGTGCCCTCATGGGACGCTCTTGGGGCGCTCATGGGCGCTCTTGGGGCCGTCCTGTGGCCATTTTGGGGCCGTCTTGGGGCCCTCTCGGAGCTCTCTTGGGGCCCTCTTGGGGGCCCTGGAGGGAGCTGGCCGGGCGGCGGCGACGGCGCCCGCGCTAGGGCGGCCAGGCGGCGGCTTCGCGACGCGGCGGCGCCCGCGGAAGGGCGGCGGACCCGACCACGGTGGGCCTTGCCAGCGCCCTGGGCCCCGCGACGACGACCCGCTCATCCCTCCGACGCCCGGGCCCCCCGCTGGTGGCGGTGGTCCTGGTGGTACTGGTGGTGGCGTTCGCGCCTGAGTGGCCCCTGCCTGACGCGAGGGACATCCCCTCCTCGCGTTTGCCCTCCTCTCGCCGCCGACCATGGGCCAGAGCTGCCCGTGCTGACGGCGGCAGGCCGTGCGGGCCCCGTCGTAACTTGCTTGTTCTCGTTCGCTTCTCGCGGCCGCCGGTCTGGACGGTGGCCGCTCCGGCCGCCTCGCGTCTCGAACTGGCGCCGCCGTAATCCTTAGCAGCCAAGACTGTGGCACCTTGCTGTTTGCGCATCTTGTGTGGCAGCCTTGGAGGGCCTCTTGAGGCCATCGTGGAGGCGATCGATCAAAAGAGGGGAGTCCCCGATGTTAGCCACCCCTGGGGTCATCAAAATCTCCTGCTAGGAGCCATCTTGGGCCGGTCGTAGGCTGTCTTGAGACCGTCTGGGTGACCTCTTTGTGGTCTCTCTTGGGCCTCTCTTGGGCCATATTTGGAGCCATCCTGAGGCCTCAATATCGGCATCGGTAGCGAAACGGCGATAAGGCAAACGTCGGATCATCTGTTTTTCTTCGGTGTCTGAAAGATGTTGGCCTCTTGGCGGGTCCTGAGGGGGCTCCGAGAGCACTTGGAACCGTCATGTGGCCCTCTGTGGGCCTTTTGGAGGTATGTCGGAAGCTATCTTGAATCATGTTCGGCTATCTTGAGCCCTCTTGTAGACCATTTTGGAGCATCGCAGGCCGTCGTGGAGCCATCTCGGGCCATCTTGGGCGGTCTGACCGACCGCGTTCCCCCCAAAACAAAGTCAGGCATGGGAGGGGGAGGGTACCCTCCCCAAAGGGGAGGGCGTCTTGAAAGAGGAAGGAAGAGTATCGCTAGACCACCCCATCAGAAATCTTAAGACGACACGCCAACGTCCATGGATTCCAGATGTCGTTCTAAGTCCAAGGAAAACGAGAAACTGGACTGGACCATCGGCGTTTTTGTGGAGTTTATCTTCTTCGTAGAATGCTTGTATATGTGGACCTGGACTATTGTCTACGAAGACGCTTGGCGTGAAGTCCATGTTCGTCGCATGCTTTGTATGAGTTGTCGTGGGCTAGATCTCCACGGCAAGAAACCACTCCCCCTCCTCGTCTCATGCCCCTCCCTCCCTCTCCGCCAGCTCTCTCCGCCTCCCCCATCCCCCCCTCTCCCCCGGCCCTCTCCTCCCCCTCCTCCCTCGTCGTCCCCCCCTCTTCCTCCACGTGCTGCTTCTCCGCTTCTCCTCTCTTCCCTCGTCGGGAAGGCCCGAGTTCCACACGAGGAGGAGGAGGAGGAGAAGGAGGAGGAGGAGGAGGAGGAGGAGGAGGAGGAGGAGGAGGAGGAGGAGGAGGAGGAGGAGGAGGAGTAGGAGGGCGGAGGAGGAGGAGGAGGAGGAGGAGGAGGAGGAGGAGGAGGAGGAGGAGGAGGAGGAGGGAGGAGAACAACAAGGATGAGGAGAACCAGGAGGAGGAGGGAGGATGGAGGAGGCAGGAGGCAGGAGGCAGGAGGCAGGGGATGGAGGAGGCAGGAGGCAGGAGGCAGGAGGCAGGAGGAGGAGGTGGCAGGAGGCAGGAGGCAGGAGGAGGAGGACGAGGAGGATGAGGGCGGATGAGGAGCCCCCCCACCCCCCACCCACCGCAGGCTGGCAGCGGAATCTTCCTGCGCTGCGGCGCCCGGGGAGGACAGCCCATGTACAGGCGGGTTGCCCGCCGCGGGCTCGCTCCTGGGGGCGGAGGAGGAGGAGGAGGAGGAGGAGGAGGAGGAGGAGGAGGAGGAGGAGGAGGGAGGAGAAGGAGGAGAAGGAGGAGGAAGAGTAGGAGGAGGGGGAGGGAGGGGGAGGGGGAGGAGAGGGACAGGAGGGAGGAGAGGAGGAGAGGGAGGCGGAGGAGGAGGAGGAGGAGGAGGAGGACGAGGAGGAGGAGGAGGAGGAGGAGGAGGAGGAGGAGGAGGGGGAGGGGGAGAGGAGGAGGAGGAGGAGGAGGAGGAGGAGGAGGAGGAGGAGGAGGAGGAGGAGGAGGAGGAGGAGGAGGAGGAGGAGGAGGAGGAGAGGAGAGGAGGAGGAGGAGGAGGAGGAGGAGGAGGAGGAGGAGGAGGGAGGAGGAGGAGGAGGAGGAGGAGGAGGGGAGGAGGAGGAGGAGGAGGAGGAGAGGAGGAGGAGGAGGAGGGGGAGGAGGAGGAGGAGGAGGAGGAGGAATAGGAGGAGGAGGAGGAGGTGGAGGAGGAGGAGGAGGAGGGGGCGGCGGGGCCACGGGAGCGACCCGGACCTCTCCCCAGAGCCCCTCGGGTTATGGCAGCAGACGCAGCTCCAGGTCTGTGGTGGTTCTCTACCCCATCCGAGCTTCGAGGCGCGAGGTGTTTGTGTCCGTGCTCGTCGTAGATTCCCATGGGTTCTCCGGCCTCGGGATGCTCTCCAGCAGCTGCGCCTGGCCGAGGGCGTTCTGGGGTCGCCCTGCTCGTCCCAAACGGCCGCCGAGGAACCGAGTTGCCGAAAGCCAGAGCCGCGCGAGCCATGGAACAACCACGACGAAGTATTTTCAGTTTCCTGCCCCTCGGGGCCATCGCTGGGCCCTGGGCTCGTCAACGAAGCTTCTCAGGAGGAGCAGCTGGCCAGACCTCTGGGGGGCCCACGATGCGAACAAGTCGCGACGTCGGGGCCCAGACATCGGGCTGTTCCAATTTTTCCAATGCATGGGCCCTGGAGGTCGGGGCCACTTCCCCAAGTTTTTCGTCCTAAGCTGTTTTTGACGCTCCCGAGGCCCAGCGAGGGCCCCTGGAGGCCGAAAACTGCAAAAAAAAAAAACGCCCGCTCCATTTTTGTTCGGAGCGCCGGATCTCTAGGGGGTCTATGCCTCCTCCTCTCCTCTCTCTGCCCCCCCGGACTGTCCTGCTCCCCCTTAACTCCTCGTCTCTCTCTGGCCCACCCTGCTGCGCCCTCGTTCCCCCCTGTGTGCCTCCACGCTCCTCCCATCGGCTCTTCCCCGGCACTGTTCTCGCATTCGTGCACGCAGCTTATTCCCTGAGATCCCGGCGTCCCAGTTTTTTCGAGCCCGGCGTTTTCGTCAGGTTTCGAGCCTTGGGACCCTCATACAGCTTGATCTGGCTCGAAAAACGGTGCAGAAAGACGAGGCCGGGGCTCCCTTGGTGATTTGTCGAGCCCTTACACGGCGTTCGCCCCCCCACCCCCCCCCTCCCCCCTTTCGCCCCTCTTCAAACTAACACCACCGTGCAAGCGCCTTCCGACTTGCGTGATTTCCGCACGTGCAAGTCGTTTGCGGCTCGCATGAGGTTCAGCCCCCCCCCCGTTCATGCAAGTAATCTTGCCGGCACCCGCCCGCGAATGCTGTCCTCTGCGCGAACGAGATGGGCACGGAAAGAATGGGTACGATGCCCAACAGCGGTTCCTTCTCATTTTGAACAGGACTCGCTGTCGGTGTCGCCGCGGCCTGTGTACATTTGAGACAGAAGGCCGCCTGCCCAACAGCGGCCGCCGATGGTTTGGGACAACAGTTGCTGTTGGGCATTGTGCCCATTTTTTCCGTACCCCTTTCGGGCGTCCAGATCGAGTCCTCCCCTCGGCTTTCCCCCCTGTCTTTTGAAAAAAAGGAGAGTAATCCTGCCGGAGTCTAGACAAAACAAGGCTCCTTGCGATGCTGCGGATCTCAGGGGAGCCTCCGCCCGGCCGCCCCGGGGGGCCCGGCCTCGACGGGCTGCCGGGCCCCGGGCTGGACCATGAGTTTTGCTGCAGCCCCGGGGCGCCGCTGCGGGCGACCCCCGCGGCAGCAGCCCCCGGGCACTCCTGCCCACGAGGGCCCAGCACAGAAGAAACAGCGCGCGCGGCAGAGTCCTGCCTCCGCCGGGTTGTCCACCATGCCCTCCCGCCCCCCAATTCGCAGGAGGGAGAGGAGGGGGAGGAGCACGGGTATAGGAGTAAGACGAGGCGAGGCTCTTCCTCCTCCTCCGCCGCTTGCTGCTCTTCTTGCTCCTGTTCTTCATCTTCTCTCCCTCTCTCTCCATCTCTTTCTTTCTCTTTCCACTAATATGGCTTCCTCTCTTTCTCCAGTATGGCTCCCTCTCTCTCTCTCTCCCTCTGTCTGGTTGCCTGTCCCGATGATATACATATGATCGTGCGGGGTTGGGACAAAGGATAGATCCGTTCCAGAGCGTTCCGGCGCGCTCTGAGAGCGTTCTGGAACGCTCTCCTGGGAAGGCCGCGAAGCCCGAGATTTCCTCCAGGGCCGCCAGCCCTCAGAAATCCTCGAGTTGTCCTCCTCCGAAGGTGTCCTCGTCTTGGCTCCCCTGAGATCCGACCTCGCGACATAAATTGAGACATCGCAGGCAGATCACGACCGGGAGCCCTGGACGCCACCTTTCTGCGCCCTCCTTCGAGCCGAATCTCCAGCCGCGTGAGGGCCCCAGGGCCCGCGCGCAGCCTGACGAGAGAGCGCCCGGCGCGAAAGCATCGAGGCGCCAGGACCTCAGGGCCTCTCTCTCTGCCTCGCTGCCCCCCCTTACTCAGAGCCCCGAATCATCAGGGGTAGCTCGGGTCAGGGCTAACTCGGGTTCGTTTTTCGGGATTCCGAACCCTAGTTACCCCGGGCCCGAGTTACCCCTGATAATTCGGGCGTCCAGAGCCTCAAATCATCAGGGGTAACTCAGGTCAGGGCTAACTCGGGTTCGTTTTTGCGGGGATCCAAACCCGAGTTACCCCCGGACCTGAGTTACCCCGGATAACTCGGGCGTCCAACTTACCTTTTCGCTGCCACGGCTCTTCCCTGCGCGCCCAGCGCCCCCCCCCGCTCGATCGCGCTCCCCCGGCGAGGCGCCTCCGGTCCGAGGCCGAGCCCGTGTTCCTGTACTACTGGGGTGGCGGGGGCGACCCGCGGGGCCGGCGCGAGGGCTCGCTCGGGCGGGCTCACAAAGGGGGGGGCCCAGCAGAGAGAGGGTGGTGCAACAGGGCTGGTGATACGGAGCCCCAGACCCCCCCGTCGCGTCGTGAAAGAAGAAATCGCGACGGGAGGTCTCTTTTTCGCTGTTTTCGGCCTCTGGGGGCCCTTCCCAGGCCTCGGGACCGTCAAAGAACGACTCCGGAATCAAAACGGGTCCCGGGGAAGGGGTTGGGGGTCATGTCACACAAAAAATCACGACGTCGGGGGTCTGGGCCGGGCCTGTGGGGTTGCAAGAGCTTCGGGGAGTGCAATACATTGTTCCGGTGCGCACAAATGTACTGCTGGACTTTCGCGTGCAATAGAGTCGATGAAATATAATGCAACACAGCTCTCTGGCGCAATGCGTTTGCAGTACAATTGCCCCAAATCTATTGCACCACCCCCTTGCAGCTGGAACCCCCTTTTGGGGCAACCGAGCGATCTTGGTCGTGGTCCATGTCGGCCGCCGCCGATCTGCGAGGATGATCCACGAAGTGACGCTGACCAAGATCGTGGGTGCTCGACACACAACGCTTCCGCGTTCTGTCTTGGCCATGGCTTCCACTTTCTTGCTCACCGTGCAAGCTGCAGCCAAACAGGGAATGGAGGACGAGCCCGCCGTGGAGCACACTCAGGCAGCCATCGGATCCTGGCGCTGCAGTTTGCCACACAGCGGGCGCCTTTGCCCCGGCTTCGGGGCGCGGGGCCCGCCCAGATCGATGTAGGGCTCGGAGCACGACGCAGCAAGATGTGGCTGAGGGCTCCCGCAGTGATTTTCGCGAGGTCGCGTTTTTTTGCTCGCTTACCAATTTGAAGCATATCCCTATCCCTGCGTTCGGCATCACCCCACCTCGGTGCCCCTCAGATACTGAGGGCACACCCCCAAGATTGTCCTCGCCTTTCGCTCGCCCATCTTAGGGATGGGGATCAGTTCGAGGCTGGCATTTTGCGACGGCGGACCTCAGGGCTGCTCGCGTAGCTGTTGGCTCTTGCTTTCTGCGTGCGGGGGCCCTCGCCAGGCCCCAGATCCCGGGGGGGAGGGGTCCAGGCCTCGGGGGGATGGGGAGGTCCAAGCTGTGAGCACCTGGCGGCGTCGGGGGGCCTGTGGCTCCATCGGTCCTCCCCTCCTCTCGGGCCCCCCCATGCCACGGGGAGGCCCGCCCTGCTTCGCAAGGGGATCGGGCGTCTACAAACTGCTGCTTGCTGCTTGGTCTGATGCTTGCACGGTAGTTGCAAGAAGCTTGCAAGTTCCGTGTGCGACATGCATGTGCAGTACCTGGTTCGATTCATCGGATGACCACATCGATTAAGTCGAGAAGCACTCTATTGTCGGGGGGATGTTTACCAGGATACCCTATCCTCCTATCCTGGGTTCTGGGGCTCGGGTAACTCGAATCGGACAGTTCGCCATCCAACTTTGGCAAGGTAGCTATCACCCAGAGAGCAGCTTAGCTGACCACCTTACCACCCAGTTAGCTAAGCTAGGGTATCCTGGTTAGCTTAGTCCAACAAAAGTATGGCGCAATACTATGCTTGATCTGACAGTTTGTGAGTGCTGCCCTGGTGCCAGCAGAGTTTAAACAACAAGCGGACAGCCAACTTGTGTTCGAAAGCCAGCATGTTTTATTCATCACAATGCCAGAAACATAATAACAACAACGGCCGCGTCGTAACCATTTTACGTGCTCTCGTGTTTTACTGTAAACCTTTGTCGTCCCAGCCCCTACATGATTTGAACGATGACGGAGCTCAGTACGGAGTTGGATTCCAAATTGAAGTACAACACGATTTCTAGAATGAACGACCTGGGGATTTCCTACAAACAAAACCAGGCTACTGCATAAACAATTGTCCAGGACGTCGACACAGTGACGTCAACCCTGCTGGGGCCTCACCCTGATAACAGATGGGGTGAAGGGGTTGAGGCCCTAGGCTTTCATCAGCTACTTGATGAGATCGCAGCTGCAGGTTTTTCATTCAAATAATGTTGTGGTGGGGGAGGAGGAGGAGGAGGAGGAGGAGGAGGAGGAGGGAGACGAGGAGGGGAAGAAGATGAGGAAGAGGTGTATGTGGGGAGGTAGGGTGAGAAGGAGGAGGAGGAGGCGAAGGAGGAGGAGCAGCAGTAGGAGGTCGGGGAAGAGGATGACGAGGAGGCGGAGCGAGGAAGGGGGATGAGGCAAAGGAGGAGGAGGTGGAGCAGGGGGAGGGAGGGAGGGATGGGGGTGAGCTGGACAGCGCCGGCGGTCCCCGCCCCCGCTGCAGGCGACGGCAGCGTGGCTGGGTGGTACGTGGCCGCCAGCCCGAGCAGGCAGGCCGACCACGACGAGCCCGGGGCTCGGAGAGGATAGGGGGGCGTGGGCGGGCGCGGTGCGGCGAGAGGGCGGGGCAGACGCAGGGCACTCAAACTGCGGGGGGGGAAGGCCCTCTGGGAGGAGGAGGAGGAGGAGGAGGAGGAGGAGGAGGAGGTGGAGGAGGAGCAAAGGGAGGAAAGGGAGGAAAGGGAGGAAAGGGAGGAGGAGGAGGACGACGAGTGGGGAGGGGGATGAGAGGAGAAGCGGGGAGGAAGGGGAGGAGGGGAGAGAGGATGATGAGGGGCGAGGAGGACGAGGATGAGGAGGCTGAGAAGCATGAGGAACATGAGGATGAGGGGGAGAATGATGAGGAGGAACACGAGGAGGAGGAGGAGGAGGAGGAGCAGGAGGAGGAGGAAGAGGAGGAGGACGATAAGGACGAGGTCGACGACGACGACGCCGACCAGGCGGGCGATGAGGAGGACGGTAAGGACAAGGACCAGGAGGACTTGGGCTAGCCCGTGTTCCAGGATAAGGAGAAGGAGAAGCGGAGGATCAGGAGGACGGTGACGACGAAGACGGGAAAGATGCGAACGAACACGGCGAGGGCGAGTTCTTGCATGATTTGGATGTCGGGGGATGTAAGACGAGGGAGGGGGATGAGAAGCTTACAGGAACAGGATGATGAAGACGGGGGGACGAGGTGGAGTGTGAGGGATGGCGGAGGAGGAATCCAGGAATAGAGTGGAGGGATCAGAGGGATGAGAAGAGGGACAGCAGGAGGACGGAGGAGGACGGGGGGAGGGCAGGAAGGAGCGAGGAGAAAGGAGAGGAGCCGGAGTTTGTGGGAGAACGAACAGGGAGGGTACGAGAATGTTGTGGAGGAGGAGTGCACGTGAATGATGGGCCTGTTTTCCACCACCACCACCACCACCATAAGTTGGAGGGGGAGGGGGCCCTCCTCCTCCTCCTCCTCCTCCTCCTCGTCCTCTTCCTCCTCCTCCTCCTCCTTCTCCTCCTCCTCCTCCTCTTCGTCCTCCTCCTCGTCATCCTTCTCCTTCCCCACTCCAACTTATGGTGGTGGTGGTGGTGGTGGTGGAAAACAGGCCCATCAATGAGGGCCTCTGCCGTCAGCCCAGCCGTCGCCGCTCGCGCCACCATCCTGGCAGGGCAGCCCGTGCCGTGTCCGACACCGCGGTTCGGCTGCCCTGCCTTGTGCCCAGCCGCACTCGTCCCCTTCCGTCGCCGGCGCCTCTGCGGTCATCGTCCTCCTCCTCCTCTTCTTCCTCCTCCTCCTCCTCCTCCTCCTCCTCCTCCTCCTCCTGCTCGTGCTCCTCCTGCTGCTCCTGCTCCTGCTCCTGCTCCTCCTGCTCCTCCTCCTGCTCCTCCTCCTCCTCCCTTCACTTCTCCTTCCTCCTCCTCCTCCTCCTCCTCCTCCTGGCCCCTGCGGCAGAGAGCGGAAGGGGGCACAAGTTGGAGAGGGCACAGACTATAGCGGATCGGGGGCGTCCAAGGGACGGGGGTGAGGATTAGAGGGGGGGGAGGCGGGGGGGCGCATGGCCAGAGCAATGGAATCTCCGAGCTTCTGGCTGCAACTCATTTTCTGTACCGTGCACTGTTCTTCCGCCCGTCGTTGCGTGTTGCCTTATTATGTGACTGCTCGGTTGGACCGCGCGGGAATGCACACACAGCGCCAGCATCTCTCCCTCTCTCTCTCTTTCTCTCTCGCCTCGCGCCTCTTCTTCTTCCTTATCCTCCTCCTCCTTCTCCTCCTCCTCCTCCTCAAACCCCCGTGGCTCTGTAGGGCGGGGAGGGGCTCAGCAGCAATGGTGCCATGTTGCATTGCTTCTCTTGCTTCTCTTCTGCTGTAGCGTGAAGGGAGGCGGGCTGGCGGGCTATGCTTCGTGTCTTGGGATACAATCCGATGCACTGCTGCACGTCGGAGAGAGTGGAGGGGGTGTTGATGAAACTCGGAACTTCGATGCCGTTCTCCTCGCGGGCACCCGCTGTGGGACCCGACTCGCGGACGCCCAGGCTCTTACGCGTCGCGCGGGGGGCCGCCTCCTGATCGAGGCTCCGCACACCGTGTCCCCCTTCTCTAACCCCAGCTGCGGCTGCGCTGTCGCCTTCGGCCCGATCATCAAGGCAGGGGACATTCGGAGGGTATGGGGGAGCCCGAAGGATGCGGGAGGTAGAGGAGTTGCTGTACGTGTTAAGCGAAGTCCTCTAGACAACCCCCAAACCGTCGAGCAAGCAGAAGTCGGTTTACTTCAGGGCGGCCAAGCTGTTGACTGATTGGCTGCGCGGAATTCTAGGGGAGCTCCCAGCAAGGTGTCTGCCTCTGGTCTTCGGGGACATTAACGACGGGATGGGGGAGGAGTGGCGTGACGGTTCCTGGCGAAAGGTTGAGTCTCCCGCGGTGGGGGCCCTTACCCAGGAGAGGTGTGTAAACGGCGCTGGCAATATTTTCCGGCTGGCCCTCGAACAACACCACCTAGTGGCTGCTAACGCTCGCTTTCGGGTGGAAAATATTTACTTCGGGGACCACGGTGCCAGCCGACTGGACTACATATGTTTACCTAGTGTTTTTTCGGATTCTATAAAGAAATGGCACGCTATGCGGGGGCTTGGTGCGAAGCTCCAACCCATCAAGGGGGTCTCCCCCACGTGATCACCTGCCTGTCGGCCTGTTCGTGCGACGCAATAAGGGAGGGCAGGAGAGGGAGGAGCACACGAGGGTCAAGTGGGACATGGACCGCGTGCTGAGGAGCTTGAGGACGGGGGAAGGCCGATGGGATTTTCTCCGTGCGGCACATGAGGAATTTCAATGGTTATCTATTCGTGAACTACTAGATTGGTTTTCTCCCGATACCATGTTTGAAAAGATTGAGGAGACCATCATTACGGCGGGGCGGAAACACTTCGAGGGGAGGCAGGAGGTACGTGAGGGACATAGCGAAGCATGCCGTCGACGTCGTGAACTCCTCGGTTTGAGAGTTCAAATTCGGGGAGGTAAACATCTAGCACGTGATGATCAGATCTCGGATATAGATGATGAGCTGAAACGTCTGTCCCTTGTGCTCCAGCGTGGCCGACGTAAACACTTGCGCGCCCAACGTGATGCCCTTCTCTCAGAGGCTAACGACCATTGGGATAAGCGGCGGACGGCGGAGGCGATGCAGCTATCTAGGCGAGCGGCTCGGTGCCGCTGTGGGCCTAAGAAGCGGGACAATCGTCTGGCGGGAAGTCGTTCGCTGCCCACCTCGGCGGAATGGTTAGCTACTTGGCGCAAGCCTGGGATGGGGGGAGGCATGGCGGTGCAGGAGTTGAATTGGGACAGATGGGGGCAGGAGAGGGAGGATGCGGAGGTGTACGAGGATGATGACGACCCTGAGTTGGCCGAACTTGCGAAGGAGGATATGAAGACGTTCCGTAAGTACGTATTGCTTGCATCCAAACGCCGTGCTGTGCCACAGTGGACCTGCCCATTCGAGCTTTTCCACATGCTCTTGTTCCCGAAGTGGAGAGTAGACCGTTCACGATTGGGGTTGGCTATCCTGGTGCATCCGTCGCAGAGCCTGGCCACCTGCCGGACCCCGTGGCCCCCAGCGTCCCCAGTTTGTGGTTCCTCATGATTGCAGGGTTCCACAAGATCAGGAAGCACCAGGTCACGCCCCTTTATTGGCACAGGAGCCAGGCCACTGCATTGCATACAAATCTTAAACCAGGTCCCCTGGGAAAGCGAATAATCCATCTTTTACCAGTCCTGGGAAAGGGTTACTTCGCGAAGCGACTTAAGCCGTCCCCGACTTTGGCCGATCACGGGTTCGTATCAGGACGACGTCGTGAGAACGCCATACTTATAGCACTTAATACTTATTGGGGGCTTCGTGAGGTTGGACGTGCACACGCCCTCTGTTTCAAGGATCTCACCAACGCCTTCTCTAGCAGCACGTTTGAGGCGATGACCGACACTGTGGCTTTGCATGTGAACCCCCACGACCGCGAGCTCTGTATACAACGTTCCGAGAACTCGGTGGTGGTCCTCCCCTCGCGCGATGGCGACGTCGTCGCGAAGCCGTTCCAGGGGGGGGGGGGGGGGGGGGGAGGGGGACCCCTATATCGTTTCGATGTTCTTGTCGACTTTTTCGAGACCAGTTTCATCGTGGGGATGGGACATTACCAAATGGGACCGCTCTGCCCGTGACCTTCGGGCCACGTGGGGAGACTTGCGTTCGGACTTCTCGCTTTTGAAATACGCGGACGACCTTGACAAGATCGTATTGTCCGATTTTGACTCCACCTTCTCGCGTTTCATCGATAAGCTGATTCGGGTCGACAGCAGTCTTAACAGCCGCCTTGAAGAATTCGGGCACGGTCAAAACTTGGACAAGCAAGAGTTTCTTTTTGTCACTTCAGCCTCCATGGGACGCGGAGTAAACAAGCGCTTCGGGCCCGAAACCATGACCTGGGAGGGATTCCAAGAGATGCAGTTCGGTACCTGGGGGCCTATTTCACCATGAGCCACCTGGCGGCGCAGGAGGTGACGAGGAGGATCCAGGCGTCCAGGGCATCCTTTTTTCAGCCTGGGTGGGATCTGGGGGTTGAGGCTACGATATAACTTCAAGCGCCTCCTCCTGATGGGGTTCGCTCAAAATGCGATTCTCAATGGATTAGAAGCATTTGTCCTCAATGATCGTGACTATACGCGGCTCGACCACGGGGTGGCTGCGTGGGGGCGGAGGGCCTTGTCGGGGAGGACGTCTCATGCAGGAGAGGGTGATCATGTCCGCAGTTTGTCCACGGCGCAGATTCTTCTGCATTGGAAGATCGCCCCTTGCTCGGTGGAGATGAAGATCAGGCGGCTCCGCATGTGCCAGGCGTGGGCCAGGCCCCCCCCCCCCCCCACCATGCCCAAGTTCTCTGCTGTTTATTCGGCGAAATGGAGGCCGATCGTTTTCGGAGACAGATTATAGCGGGTCGTCCTACGCAGTACTCGTCGCCTTGGGCCCAGCAGGTTTGTCAGGATCTTGAATCAGCCGCTCTTGCTCTGGGATCTCGGGCATTGGAGGGGGCTTCGAAGGACCTGAGGATTCTGGGGGACAAGGAGAGGGCGGAGGAGTTCGTGTGTCTGGACGTGTCGGAGTTGCGTGCGAAACATTTTTCACGATGCGTACCCCCTCCTGGTCATGGGTCGTACATGCGGTTTGGTCGGCACAATCCCTATGCCGAAATCACAAGCTCCCATGTTGCTCCTGAACTTGGCCACGGGTCCGACCCAGGGGGTGACGAGGTTGCGGAGTTTGTCTGTGGCCCCCCCTTGCACTCTAAAGGAATTGAACCTGCTGAGACGGGCGAGACCTGCGCAGCAGCCTTTATTTATTGTCGTGACCTGATGAATCACTATAGGCAGGTACACCACATTCGGGACCTGTGCCATGTGATAGCGCCCACGAACGCCTGCATACATTGCCGACGAGTCTTCGGCCGTCAGTCCACGGCAGCCCGACATCTCCGAGGCTCACTGGCCCGCGGTCACTGCTACACAGCTGGCCCCACGACAATGAAGACAACCGCCGAGCCCCCGAGCTCCCTGGCGTGCCCGATCTGTAACTATTTAGGCTCAACTCTTGCAGACTTGCACGATCACTTGGGCACGCATCTGCCGCTGCAGCTCCGCCCATTCGTCGCTCGGGAGGATCGTGTTCGACGGGGTGGGCGACGCCGAGATGCCTGGCTGGTTCAACGAGGGCGTGAAGCGCCCAGGCGCGGCGGCAGGGGGGTCGGCGTCGGCGGGCGCAGGGCAGCAGGCGGCGGCGGAAGGGGGGCGCCGGCGACAGGCCAGGCGCGGGGAGGGCGAGGGGGCGGGCGGCAAGGCGCAGGACATGGCGGCCAGGCTCCTCTTGTCCAACGTCCGCGAGACGGCGGAGATCTCGGCCGCGACGTTCATCAAGTACTCCATCGGGGTCGACGCGGGGCTGACGACGGCGTGCATCGTGGAGGGCAAGAGCTACGACGAGCACAGCCAGGACCTCAGGGAGCGGGCCGCGAACGGGGAGCAGGTGGACTTCAAGGGCCGCGGCCCGCCCCGCGTCCACGTCATGATGGCGGCCATAGGGTACGGGGCGACCTTCACGATCGCCGAAGGCGACGACAAGAAGGAGGGCGAGAGGATCAAGAACGAGTCCGGGACAGCACGTACTCATCCATTGCACTTCCACTCTTAGCATTCACACCGTCTTGATTATCATGCACGTGTTTACCCATTTCTTTTTCGTCCTCCTCGCGGGGGAGGGGGGGGGGGCAGCAGGGTCATGCACGTGTTTATCCAGTTCATTTTCACTTTCCTCCTCATCCTCCTCGCCCCCCACCGGGTGCGACGAGGGCCAGAGGTAGAATCAACTTGACGTTCATCATTGCCCCCCTTTCCATCCTCATGGTCATCATGTGTGTGAGGGGCCACGAGACGGTGGTGCAGCTGAAGATCCTTTCCTGGGAGGGGGTCGGTCGTCCCACCGGCGCCGGGCTGCGCGCCTGGCCAAGGAAGCCGCGGCGGCTGCCGGGGCTCCACAAACCCCGGCCGCCCATGCAGAAGTTCCGCCTGGCCGCAAGCTCCGGGTGGCCACTCTCAACGTGACCTCTGCCACCACTGCACGCATCAAGGCAATGCTGGAAGCAGAACTGGTCGAGTCTGCGGACATCATCTGCTTGCAGGAGGTCCGCCACACCACAGTGACCCCACGCTGGCTCATGAGGCTGGCATCCCAACGGGGATGGGGTATAAAGCTGTCGACGCCTTCCCCCGTGGGCCAACGGGGCGCGCGCGTCCAGGGCGGCACCGCCATCATGTGGAGGCGCTCCTTGGGGAAAGTTTCCACGTGCGCCCACCCGAAAGACCATCGACTGGTGGGGCTCCTGTTTGCGGGAGGTGCAGTCGTTTCCGCCTACGGGCCGGCCTCGCGCCCGCCCCTCGAATGGGTCGATAAAGCTGCGCAGTGGATGGGCGAGAAGTTCCGCGACAAGCCGTAGGTGCTCATTGGGGGCCTGAACTGGAGGGAGATGCACCGCCAGCTCGTCGCCGACGCCTGGCAGATCGCCGACATGCCCCCCCCCCAACCACGCATGCGAATACCAAGCCTACCCGAGGGCTGGCCCAGGGCTGCTCCATCCAGGCCGCTGGAGTGGAAGCCGTGGCCGGTGTCCCGCGCCACAAGCTGGTTCTCTTCGAGGTGGGCGCGCCGCTGCCGCCGCGGCCCGCCCAGGAGCGCCTTAAACGCACAGCTTTCTACACTTGGAATGACAATGCTGTTATGCTCCCGGCCGATGCGGGAGACATCGAGTCCGCCGTCGATGCCGAGTACCCTGTCCTGGAGGCCTCGTTCCCGCTGTTGGACAGGTGGAAGCGGTGGCGCGCTCGGGCTGAGACTGTGGCCCGCCTGGCGTGCAGCCGGGACTTCATGGAAATGACTCGCACTGGGGAGCGGCCGAAAGCTTCCCCGCCCGAGTCCCGCCGGTGCGCCGATTCGGCCCAGCACCGGGTGGATGAAACGATCACTCTTCGACAGCTGCGGCGGCTACACCGCCGGTTCACCCACGGGAAGACTGCGGGGGTGGATTCGGAGCGCCTGTCACCCAAGCACTTGCACGACTTCGGCGTGGCGGCCCGTCAGGGAGCCCCCCACGCAAAGTGGTCCGACGCCCCGCTGTTGTGGCCGACGTACGCAGCCGCAGTCGACATCATCAATGCCAGCATCACCAAGGAGGAGCGGAAGGGCACGGACGCCCGCGGCCGCCAATGGAAACAACGCTTCACCGAGATCACTCGGGACACTTGGGCCGCCGCCGGCCCCGTCATCAAGCCGGGCCCCGAGGCGCCGACCTTCGCCCCCGACTCCATGCGGGCGGAGTGGGAGCCGATCTGGAACCCGCCAGACTACAACCCGGATACCATCCGGGCAGCTTGGTGCACCTACGCGGACAAGGCCGTCTTCCCGCAGTGTGGGGTTGCGGTTGACTGGATCCCCGACTACGACGACTTCTCTGCCGCCTTCCAGAAATGCGGCGGGGCGGCGGGCCTCGACGGCTGGTCAGCCGCAGAGGTCAAAGCTTTGACACGGCACTTCGAGTTCTTGAAGATGGAGCTCTACACGTTGTGGGTGGCAACCACACGCGCCGCTGGTGACCCGGCGGGCCTCCCGGAGGCCCTCGTCGACTTCCTCTTCTGCTGGCGGGTGGTGGGGATCCCCAAGCCCAAGACCGACGCATCCCGGCCGATCTCGGTGGCGTCATACCTCGTACCGACGTGGCTCAGTGCACGCGCGGCCATCGCGCCCCACCCAGTGGACACGCAGTGGGCCACACGCCCCGGAGTCTCCGTGGTACACGCCATTTCTTCTTGGCTGAGTGCGGCGGCGGCTGCTGACGAAGGCTGTGAGCAAGACCTCACAAAAGCGCACGACCGAATCGACCACCTGCTGGCGACAGAGGCCCTGGACCGTGAAGGTTGGCCTCGGCACCTGCAGTGTCTGTTCAGATGTTCCTGGCGGGGCCCCTGGTACTGCCACGTGGAGGGGGCGCTGAGCTCTTCCCCAATCCGCCCCTGCTGCAGCCTCCCGCAGGGCGGGTCTGACGCGCCGGCCGGCATGGTGGCCACCTTGGTCCCGTGGCAGCCCCAAGACGTGACACCCTTCGCTTTCATGGATGACAGGTCCATGACCGTCGGCGCGCCGGCGGCCAGCACCAAGCTCCGCGATGCCCTCGTGCGCGCGCCAGACTTCGACACGGCCGCCAACTTCGCCGAGAACGTTGGCAAGAGACAACACTGGACAAAGACCGGAGGTGAACGAGTTGAGCACTTGGGTATCTCCGCTGTGCCGGGCTCCCCGGAGGAGCCCATCGAGCCTCGCTTCGGGTGGGGCCCCGTGCGAACGACGCTACGCCGCCTGGGCACACTCCCCGGGTCCGCCAAAGTCAGAGAGTCCCTGACAGCGGCTTACGCTTCGCCGATGTGGTTGTGGGCAGCACCTGTGGCGGCGCCGCCCCCGCCAGACATCACGCCCCTGGTCATGAAGGCCGTGCTGCGCACCGGATGTTCCTGGTGGTGCCGGGGCCGCTGGTGGGCCACCAGACTCTACCTACGCCCGCTCTACGGGTCAATTCTTCGCGGACTCAAGGTTGTTCTTGATCCTGAATTCTGTTGGAGTCCCCATGTGGAGACGCAGATACGTACCGCCGTGGATCGGCTGGGGCTCGGCTTTCGAGACTACGACCATTACTTTGGCCTGTGCCTGGAGGTACTCCCGGGGGACGACCCGCGGGTCCAGAAGGTCGCAGACAGGGTGCGCCAGGGGCGCTCCTATTTCTGGACGCGGTCCGAAGAAGCGCAGCATTGCGTGAGGCTGGTGTGCCGCATTCGCTGTCTGCAGCAGCGCGCCTCTAGCCGCAACGACGTGGAGGGCGTGGAGAAGGTCGACGTGGAGGCCTCCAGCGACCCCCGGTGGAAGAAGTTCTCGGAGAGCCTGCCGGCCGCCGAGAAGCAGGCTCTGAACATCTTCCGGTGTGGAGCCATACGCACCCAGACCCGCATCAGCCAGAACACCAGGTGTGCGCTGTGCGGAGCGCTCCACCCGAGTGCCCGGCACCTATGGAGCGAATGCAGTGGGATGGACGAAGAACGCCAGCTTCTCAGCCGGTTGCACGGCCTCCAGCCTACGTGGTGGACTCGTCAGCCACGAGTTACATCCAAAAGCGGATGGATCACAACCAGTGCACATCGTGATCATCATCGTCGTGTTGATATGCAGATTGCCAGTTGTCGCATGGGTATCCTCCTTTGTTTGGGCCCGTTGAAGGCGCTGCTTGACTGAGAGCCGCTCCCGCCGAGCGAGAAGGGCTCCTCCATCGAGGCTGTCATCCTGTCGCTCAAGCAGTTTGTGGACGAGTTCGGGGAGGTCGACGCAGCTGCCGCCTCCACGGCGGTGTCGACGGACCTCGAAAGCAGTATGACAGCCTCATTGAGGAGTCCTTCTCGTTCGGGGAGCAGACAGGCAGCGCATGCAGCCGCAGGTCGCCAGCGGCTATCACCAAAGGGGGGGAAGGGAGTGGGCTCCGTCCTCCTGGGCATCATCATCATTTTTTGCGTGTTCATTCGCTTCCACTACAGAGTTCATTGCTTGAACCGTTCGGGAACTGTGGAGTGCTGTACGTTTTTCGTCTGCCCAGAGAAGCGTACCGGGGGCCTCCAACTTTGGCGTGTACGTGGACGTGCTGGTCGGGATCGACACCAGCAACGTCGTCGACGGGAGCCTTGTCGTCGCTTTCCTGAGCACCGGTCAGAGGACTGCGAGGGCGCCAAGGACAACTACGAGGACCCCTTCCTCGGAGGAGGGCCCGGCGCGGCTGCTGCCGCCAGGAGGCGGCGCGCGCAGCGGGAGGCCGATCCCGCCCTTCAGGCAGTGATGCCGGCGAGGATTCTGACCTCGCTCATGCCATCTGGCCCTGCCCCACGCCCTGCACGGGGGACGCGGCAGCAAGCCCTCCCGCGCAACAGCCCCCAGCAACCGCCCCCCCGGGCGCAGCAGCAGCCGCAGCAGCAGCAGCCGCGGCAGCGACCCAGGCAGTCGAACTACCAGGAGCCGCCCACGCTGATCCGACTGCGCCAGCTCATGATTCTGGTGGACCAGGGCCTCAAGCCGACTGAGGCGCAGGTCACCGCCAAACTTCGAGAAGTCCTCGATGGTAACGGGACCGGCCAGGGGCAGCCGACGGGCTCGGCCCCTGGAGCCGGCCGTGCTCCGAGAGGGTTCACACGAGGTGCCAACCTCAACGTGGAGAAAAACCTGAAGGTGTGGACGCAGCCTTGGGGCGAGGCCAAGTTCCAGGCTGCCGCTGCACTCCGTGACGCTGCTCCACCGGCGGCGGGACCCCACGTGGTGGTGTGCCAGACCCCGGACGAACACCAAGAAGCCATCAGATGGAAGAAAGCCGCGGCCTGCGCGCAGCCGTGCACATACATCGTCTTCAACGCTGATCGCGAAGACATGCAGGACGAAGTGCTCGTGGAGGGTGCCCGCGGCCCAGTCCCGGTCCGCTGCCAGATCGTGCAGTCTGGTGCCCAGGCGCCGGCGCGGTCGGGGCTCCCCTCGGGCATGAAAGATGATACGCCAGAAGTGGCGGCCGCCGCCGCCCCCAACGCCACCATCTACAGGCTTGCAGCTATCAAGGCCTGCACCGATGGTGCCATCGTCGCAAAAGCTGAGGGCGAACCAGGTGCACTGGGGAATATCGTGTTACCTAAAGAACTCTCACCGCTGGTGGTCCAGACAAGGGCTGCCATGAATTATTCAGATGTGGTCACCGCCCTGGTTGTCGTGAAGGAAGCGGACCAGGACAAGATCAACCAAGCGTCGCTGCCTCGGAGGTGCGTGTGCTCTCCGCAGGGGTCCCGTGACATCCCACGCTACGTCACCAAGCTCCCAGAGGAGACGGATGCAGCGTACTGGGCACGAGTCGACCGGAACAGGATGGCGGCGCAGGGCCGTCTCGTGTACCGGAAGAGCGACAAGGCCTACCTGGGCATCATTGCCAACAAAGCCATCACCGACACGGTGGAAACCATTCGCTGGATTCTCAAGCGGGCCCCCCCCAACTGGACCTCCCCTGAGGACGTCGAGACGTGGGCCGAGGCTCGTGGGTTCACCAAGTTTGCCAATTGCGCCCGGATGGGCAAAAAGATCTGGAGCTTCCACGCCGAAGCTGCTAGTGTGGCGAGCTCTTTCACTTTCCAGTCTGGCATCTTTGTCGCGCAGGCCGGGCGCGGTGGAGGCGATCGCAAGAAGCCCGACAAGGCAGCCCCGCCCGCTGGGCCTAGACAGCGCCGGGGCGCCCCGCCCCCCCGGGCGCGCGCTGCCCAAGCAGATTCCGACATGGATGAGGATGAAGCGGGCGCTTCGGCAGAGGCTCCGCCAGCTGCGGCAGGGGCTCTGGCGCTCACCGACGCTGGTGCGGCCGCCACTGGTGGCCCGGAGCAACCAGCCGCCAAGGCGGCCCCGGCGCAGAAAAGCCGGAAAAAGGAAGCGCCCCTCCCTTGGGCAAACTTGTTCGTGGAGGAGGCGTGTGACGGCCAGGGGGATTGCCAGTGCATTGCACTAGCAAAGGCTCTCAACCACCTCGCCCCGACGAGAAAGGCCCCGGGCCCGAATGACTTCAAGCCGGGTGGGCGTCTCCAGGCCAGCTTGCGGATGCAGGCCGCCGCGGAGATCAGCGACAACAAGGAGAAGTACGACAAGGCCACTTCCGAGTACACGGAGAAGGTGGCGACCACGGGCACGATGGGGGACAGCCTCACGCTGTGCGCCCTCGCTGCTGCCCTGAGGGTTGACATCATGATCTGGCGGTGGTCCGAGGAGGAGCGGAAGTGGTCCCTCTTCACCACTGCTGCGGCCAACAAGCCAAAGAAGAAGAAGGCCCTCTGGGTCGCGCTGAAGAACCGCCACTACACGTGGCTAAAGCCCCTCAGCGTGGAGGTTGGCGACAAGCAGCGCCTGGACATGCAAACGGCGGCCCTGGCCGTGCCGAGGGGCCGACGGGGCTTCTCGGGGGCAGGAAAGGCTTTCCCATCCCCGTCCAAGAGCGTGCGGAGCCTGCTGGGCCTGGACAGCAACACCTCGAAGGGCGTGTCCGCCAGTAAGAAAGCCCCCACCTCCAAGGGCAAAGCAGCAAAGCGCAGCGCGGCCGCCTCCACGGCCGACGTTGCGGAGCTGCTGGGCCTCGACGCAGCCCCGGCGGCGGCAGCTGCCGACAGCGGTTGGATGAAATATGAACACCTCAAGTGCACGTGCAGATGGACCCCTGACCTGGCGCCCTCCGTTCCCGTGGGCACGCAAGCACGACGCCACTTCAAGGCCTGCAAGGACGAGCCGCCCCCGAAGCTGGGCCCGAGCCGCAACAACCTGAAAGCGCGGGCCATGGGCGCCAAGGGCGTGGAAGTCCGACAAGCCAAAGCATTCGACAACTACGTCACCTGGAAAGCTGGGCGGCCTGCGGACGTGCAGGCCTCCGTCTGCGAGTACACCTCGGCCGGGTGCTACACGAAGGTCACGCCCCGCATGAACCTCGCGTACTATACATGCACGAAGTGTGGGATGGGCAAGCGCCTCTCGGCAGCCAAGATCACCCTCTGTAAGGCTCGCGGGGTGGCCGTGGGCAAGACGCAAGGAGGCCAGATGCTCAAGAAGCTCCTTGGCCAGAACCGCTATCGGCAGCGCCTGGCGGTATTGTCCAAGGCCTCCGCCAAGCTCAAAGCTCTGCCGCTGGCCCAGAGGCCGGTGTCCCGGACCCCCGAGTACGCGAGACGCAAGGCGTTGGAGTACTACCAGGCGGACCCCGCCAAGTTTGCTCTGCAACGCAGGACCTACGCGAGGAAGCACGCCAGGGCCAAGGCCCGGCGCGCCCAGGGCCATTGACTAGGCCCCGACAGAAACCTCCCAGCCGGCAGCACGCCCGGCGATGGGGAGGCCGCCAGGCCGGCGGGCCCCTGCAGGCAGCCGGCCTTCACCGACATGATGTTAGTGCGTGCACGGGAATGATGAGAAAGGTTTTTCGGGTGTCGTGTCCAGGCTTGGCCTCTCGCGTTGCTCATCGCAACCGCTCGGGCTCAAGCGTCAAAGGCATGGGTATGTCGCTCGATGGCCGTCACGCCACCCCAGTTCGTACTCTTCGCCTGGAATGCCGTGAATGCCCCCTCGCTCTCCGGCTGCCTGGCCGGCTCCGCTGCTGGGCGCTCCGCGCCAGCAGCCCCAGGCCGCGCGGCGGCCGTCGGCTGGTGTTGGGAGCCTCCGTGGGACTGCTCCTGCTCCTGCTCCTGCCCGTCGTCAGCGGCGCCCGAGCCACCGGGCCCGCCCTTGCTGGGTGCCTCGGTGCGGCTCGCGGCCGACGGAGCCGCGGCGATCGAGGTCGTCTGGCCGTGGGTGGGAGGCCTCGCGGTCTCGCCCGACCTCGCTCTCGCCGGCTGCCTGGGGATCGGGATCCTCGGGGTGTTCGTCGTGCTGTATTGGTGCCGCCATGCTGCACTGCCCGACTCGACGCAGCTTTGTGTGATCCAATGGTGCAAGACTGGGTGCTGGGGACGCAGCGGCTCGTGTGGTTCGTCACTGATCCTGGTTTCAAGCACGAGCGCGTCATCGTGTGGCCGTGTCACGAGGCGTCTTGGATCGAGTACACGGGCAGCGGCGACCTGTATGGGGAGGAGGAGAAGGATCTGGACAAGGTGTACCTCATGACGGCGGGCCAGCCGCCGAGGTCTCTGCCGGACTACGGGGCGAAGGTCGTGCCGTTCGCGAAGCTCCCGACGGACGACGAGCTACGCGGGCTGATCGCGGAGGCCCACGCCGAGGTGGCGTCTCTGTGGGAGTGAGCCCGATCGCCACGTGCCGGCGGACCCGACCTACTTCTTGTCGGAGGAAGGACGCCAGCACCCGCTCCTTCGCCACCGCCTCCCGGGCAAGCAGGTGAGGCGCGTTGGCAAGGAAGGCAACCCACCCGTCGCCGATGCGGGCGCTGGAGCCGCCGAGTCTGGCGGCGTCGGGGATGCGGGCGACGGCGTGCTGGCCGCCGACGGCGAGCGTCACCGCTGGCTGGTCACCGAGCCTGGTCTGATCTGGGAGTTGGGCGCCCTCGTGCCGCACGCATGCGCCACGACCAGGCTGGGTGACCGCGGCGTCGCCGACATCGACGGCGAGACGGAGCCAGTGCAGAGCGTTCCCGAGGCCGACGTGGGCGACTACGCGTCCATGAAGACCTCGGCCTACGAGGTAGCGGTCCGCGACTTCGACGGCACGCCCACTGACTTCGGGCGGTGTGCCGGGATCGCGCCGAGCCACGCGCCTCCTCGCGGCGGGGGGGCCGAGCCGACCGCCCCTGCAGATGCCACCGAGCCGAGCGATGTTCGCACGTTGTGGGTGGACACGGACGCCATGAGCGTCCGGTTCATGTCTTGGCGCAATGTGGTCACGGAGAGCTACCCCACGGTATGGACCGACAGGCCTGGGGAGGGGCCGTCTAGCCTAATGTATATCCTCAGGCATTCTGATCGGCGCAGCCGCAACATCAGGATGTGGCTCGACCTTGGGTCCCGCTCGAACAACCTCGGGCCGGGCAATTGGGTCATGCACGAGCTCTCCGTCCTCTGCGAGGTCTTCTACGTGGGGCGCCCCTACGACCAGCTCAACATGCCGTCGCTGGTGAGCTTCAAGAATATAGGGCGCCGCATCCAGAGTATCGCGGACGCGTACTCGGGTGACCCCTTTCGGCCGCAGTGGGCTAACGCGAGGCTCTACTCCGGCGTGGGCTCTGCGGTGGACATGGTCGCGCCCGAGCTGAAGCACTACGTGGCCAAGAGGGCCAAGGACGAGATCGAGGTCGAGTCCAAGCGGGTGCAAGCCCGCAGCCTTCCGATCGCTGCCGACGCTGTCGCTGCTGGCAGTCTTCCTGCCGCTGGACGCGGTCCACCTGTCGCCGCCGCGGCGGGCCAGCCCTCCGAAGGATCGGGCCATGGAGCCCCGAAGGGAGGCAAAGGCGCCGCTGCCGCGGCGGAGACTCAATGAGTGATATGACCCTCGGCGGTGGGACTGGCCCATCCTCCGCCGTTCGCCTTCCAGGGCTTGCACGCGGATCCGCGGAGATCTTCCCGCTGCCCGACGACTCCAGCCTCGTCGCGGAATTCTGGATCCACCTTCAGGGGCGTGCCCAGCGCCGGTTCGTGAGGGACTGGCGGCAGTGTGTGCGTTCACTAAATTGGTTGTGGGGCGCTGGACATCGTGAGGCCGCTCGACGTGCTCAAGGCGACGTCCATCCATACCGTTTTCGACTTCAACGGGAGGTGCTGGTGCGAATCGCCCAGGGGGTCCAGATCTACCTGGACCCACCCTCCGACCTCTCTCCGAAGGAGGCCTTCCAGGGGCTACTTCGAGGCCGCGGGGTCTACGACACCGAGACGGCCTACACTACCCTGGCACCCTGCCAACGGGGCGCGGTTTCTCTTCCCTGTGACGTCTCGACGGCCCCGGCTGTGGGAACCTTGGTCACGGGGCGCGCCCTCGAGTATCTGGTAGAGGCAGAGGAGCAGATGATCAGGACTGGTGCTGAGGTCCAGCTTGACCGTGAGACGAATGGTGAAATCAAGATCTACACCGACCCCCTGCTCGCCAATAGCCGCCGCCGGTACTCCACTTTCGTGAAGGACCTGAAGCGGAAAGGCTTGGTGGGCTTCACCCGCGATCCCAAGGAGTTCGTCGGTGTTTTCTTCGTCTGGAAGAAGGAGCGCGCCTCCATGAGGATGGTGCTCGACTGTCGCCGCTCCAATCAACGTTTCGTGACCCCTCCTGGAGTCGAGCTGCTGTCGACAGAGGGGCTTGGTCGGATCGAGTGCGACACGGAACAGACCGGCACGTTGCCCATCTTCTTGGGTAAAGCTGACGTGAAGGATTGCTTCCACCGCATGATGTTCGGCAACCACCTCTCCAAGTACTTCTGCTACCCGGGCGGCCTGGCCAAGGAGTTTGGCATCGTCGGGCAGCTGGTGGAAGGGGTGCCCGCTCGCGCGGACGACTACCTCTGGCCGTGCGCCCTCGCGCTGCCCATGGGCTGGACGTGGTCGCTCTACTTCGCTCAGGTGGCCAACCTCGGCCTGGTGGAACGGGTCCCCGCGGTCGCGTCGAGTTGCGCGGCTACCGATCGGGGGCCTCCTATCGTGCTGTCCCCGACGTCCTCCTGGCACTACGTATACGTCGACAATGTGGGGCTCTTGTCGTTCGACGCCTCCTACGTCAAGGGGGCTCTGGCGGACACCATCGCGGCCTTCGACGCCGCGGGCCTCATCATGCATGACATCTCGGTGGACTCCGACGCGGCCGAGGCGCTGGGAGTGACGCTCGATTGCCAGAAGCACCAGACCCTCGTCAACCATCGGCGCTACTGGAAGGTCAGACTGGGCCTCCGGTGGGCCCTCTCCCTGCGGCGCCTGGCGGGGCGAGAGCTCGAAGTATTGCTTGGCCACTGTACATTCGTTGGCTTGATGTGCCGGGAGACCCTGTCCGTGTGGCACACCGTCTACACTTTCATCCGCGAGCGGTACTGGGCCAAGAGCGACGTGTGGGAGTCCGCGCGTCAGGAGCTCGAGTGCTTTCTCGGGCTGATGCCGCTCCTTCGGTCCGAGTGGGATCGGCCGTGGCTCACGCAGGTACTGTCCGTGGACGCCAGCCCGTACGGCTGGGGGATTGCCAGCTCCGAGTTCGGAGTGTTGACGGTGAAAAAGCAGGGCAGGATCCTCGAACGATCTCGTTTCCGTCGTCTCGGAGGGTTGCCGGCTCGGGCCAGTGCCCTCGCTGCCGCGGGGTTCGTCTACTCACCCACCACCGATCGTTGGCAGGTCGACGATGAGAAAGAGCGTGACCCCTCGGACGCTCGGGAGGCTGGTGCCTGGGAGATGCGTGAGGACTTCCCCGAGATTCCTGGGGCCCTCCTCCACGGGGATCGGTGGCGCTTGATTTTGCATGGCAAGTGGGCCTACTCCGAGGATATCCTGATTCTTGAGGCCCGCGTCCTGGTCAAAGCTGTCGCAAGAGTTTGTAATTGTGTTCCAGGTGGATTCTGCAGAGTATTGTTATTGGGAGATAATATGTCAGTTATATTAGCTTGTGAAAGATTTCGGGCCCGCAGCTTCGGGCTCTTGGTGCAGATCAGACGAATCGCGGCCTACGCTCTGGCCCGAGGGTCTCGATTTGGGTTCAGGTGGCATCCCTCAGAGCTCAACAGTAGCGACGCTGGGTCCCGTATCTACGACCCCAACTACGACTCCACGAAGGATCTCACTCGCCTGGTGGCTGACGGACACGGACCCGGAGACGTCCTGCCTCAGCCTGCGGATCTACCTCGATCCGACGGCGTGCCGGCTCAAGTTCCCGAATCGCCCGAGACCCCTGATTCTCTCGCCTGCACCGTATTCCACGATTGCCATGAAGCGGACTCGCACCCTGGAGGCGCCGAGCCACACCATCGCTGGCCAGGAGAGCCGGCGCACGACGGCCAGTGCGCGTCCGACGACGATTTCCTGTCCGCCTTCAGCGACCCCGGGGCCAACGAGGACGCGAACCCTGCCGCGACCGGAGATGCGCTCGAAGCTGGATACTGGGAAGGTGCCCATGGCCAGAGGGTCTCTGGTGACTCTGGCGGCCAAGGGGCCCGCGTGGGCTACAGCAGCAGTCGCGGCCGCTGCCACCGGCGCGGCCGCCGACGTGGACAGCGATGGCACTACTACGGCCGGCGAGATGGAGAAGGGTCTCGACGGCAGGTCGCCCGCTCCCCTGCCGGTCTGGCATGCCATCGCGGTGGGGTTTGCGAGGCGGGGCATGCTTGCCATGGGTCTCGCCGTGATGAACGGAGTCAGCTGCTACCTCAGGCCCTCAGAGCTCCTCAACCTTACCTCGGACAACCTGGTGGCCCCGACGTCGCCGGTGTCGCGGTACTGGAGCCTCCTTTTGCATCCTTCGGAGGAGGAAAAGAGGAGCAAGACTGGGGGTGCGGACGACTCGCCGATCATCGACTCGGCCTACATGCTGTCGTGGGTGCACGACCTCCTCCAGGTCTTGAAGGAGAAGGGCGGCCGGCTGTGGTCCTTCGATTATTTTACTTTCTTGGCGGAATTCAAGACTGTCGCCAAGACGCTGACCATGCCGCACCTTGTACCGTACCGGATGAGACACTCATGGCCGTCGATGGATCGCCTCAAGCCAGATCGCAGCCAAAAGGAGTGTCAGAAGCGCGGAAGGGGGAAGAGCTGGAAGAGCCTCGTGCGCTACGAGAAGAGCGCCCGTCTCGGAAGCTTCTGGAACGAGCTCCCTGCCGAGATACAAGCACACATGCGCCTGTGCGAAGACCAGCTCGTCGAGTTCCTCTGGTCGCCCGAGCTTGCCCCAAGGCCACCGCCCGTCCGCGGCTAGCCAAGGACGGCACCTACATGGCCGACCTGTTCTCTGGCTCAGGCAAGGTGGCTCGGGCAGTCACGCGGCTGGGGTTCTCAGCTAAGGCCTGGGACATCATCCACGGGCCCAACCATGACATCACGGACCCGGCTGTGCTTCGCCTATTGCTCTCGGACATCCGTGACGGCAAGATTTTCGCCGCCATGATCGCCCTCCCTTGCACCTCGCTGACTATCGCTCGAGATAGGACTTTTCAGATACGCTCACGCACTCAGCCATGGGGGACTGACCTGACCGATGCTACCGATCGGGACCGAGCCTCACTCGAGACTGGTAACAAGATAATTCGGGCCGTAATTCGCATTCTCAGACATCTCAATCGCTACAAAATTCAGTGGATACTTGAAAATCCGTCAATTTCCCGCCTGTGGTTCATCCCAGAGATATTGGCTCTGTGCAGCCGGGCGCGTGCTGAATGGCGACTTACAGATTTCTGTCAATGGGGTACGCCGTGGCGAAAAAGGACATGGCTAGTTTGTGGTAATATGTATCCTGAGGACAGTTGCTCACTGGACAGAGTCTGCACTGGAAAAGCTGGTATGTGCTCTCGCACCCTCCGCCGTCATATCGAGCTGAGTGGCCGCAATGACCAGAATGTTTTGTGGACCTCAATCGCCCAGCCTTACCCCTCTCGCCTTGCCACTGCTCTGGCTAAGTCTCTCGCAGCTAAGAAGCACGCCTCCTGCTCGTACAACTCGAGCGGCCCCGTCCGTACCGGGGCCCAATGAGGCTCAGGCCCTGTTTGCTTTCGCTCTTCCCCTCCTCTCTTCCCCTCCTTCGCCCCTGTGAACCCTTTCAACTCGGGATGTTTGGAATGCCTTGGACGTGTGATTCTAACGATCTCACGTCGTCCCAGCTGTGTGTTGTAACCCTGTCAGATAGTAGCAGATCCTCTCCGCTGGAAAAACACGGTCTCATTATGTTAGTGCGTGCACGGGAATGATGAGAAAGGTTTTTCGGGTGTCGTGTCCAGGCTTGGCCTCTCGCGTTGCTCATCGCAACCGCTCGGGCTCAAGCGTCAAAGGCACCCGCCCTTTCGAACAATGTTCTCCCATCCCATACTCCCATTATACTTTGCAGAATGCCTTGGACGTGTGATTCTAACGATCTCACGTCGTCCCAGCTGTGTGTTGTAACCCTGTCATCATGATCATCCACTTTTTCACAATGTTTATAGTTTTCCTCTCCATCATCTTCTTCCTTATCGCGGGGGAGGGGGGGACCAGCAGTGCCATGCACGTGTTTATCCATTTCCTCTTCGTCCTTATTGCGGGGAAGGGAGAGATCAGCAGGGTCATGCACGTATTCACCCATGCCACCTTCACTTTCATGCACGTGGTTATCCATTTCTTCTTCGTCTTTATCGCGGGGGAGGGGGAGATTAGCAGGGTCATGCACGTGATTATCAATTTCACCTTCACTTTCCTCCTCATCCTCCTCGTCCCTACCGGGTGCGACGAGGGCCTGAGGCAGAAGCAACTTGACGCTCATGGGGGCAAGAGAGCTCGTGCACAGTTTCGACTCCGGCCGAGTCCACAGCAGATGCCCCCCCACGATCCATCGGCCACGCGGCCGGGACAGCACGTACTCATCGATTGCACTCTCACTTTCGGAATTTACACCTTCTTCATTATCATGTACGTGTTTATCCATCTCCTTTTCGTCCTCATCGCGGGGGAGGGGGAGATCAGCAGGGTCATGCACGTGTTTATCCAGTTCACTTTCACTTTCCTCCTCATCCTCCGCGTCCCCACCGGGTGCGACGAGGGCCAGAGGCAGAAGCAACTTGACGTTCATGGGGGCAAGAGAGCTCGTGCACAGTTTCGACTCCGGCCGATTCCACAGCGGCCGGGACAACACGTATTCATCCATTGCACTTCCACTCTTAGCATTCACACCGTCTTCATTATCATGCACGTGTTTATCCATTTCTTTTTCGTCCTCTTCGCGGGGGAGGGGCAGATCAGCAGGGTCATGCACGTGTTTATCCAGTTCATTTTTACTTTCCTCCTCGTCCTCCTCGTCCCCACCGGGTGCGACGAGGGCCAGAGGCAGAAGCGACTTGACGTTCATCATTGCCCCCCTTTCCATCCTCATGGTCATCATGGGTGTGAAGGGCCACGAGACGGTGTTGCAGCTGAAGATCCCTTCCTGGGAAGGGGGTCGGTCGTCCCACCGGCGCCGGGCTGCACGCCTGGCCAAGGAAACCGCGGCGGCTGCCGGGGCTCCACAAACCCCGGCCGCCCATGCAGAAGTTCCGCCTGGCCGCAAGCTCCGGGTGGCCACTCTCAACGTGACCTCTGCCACCACTGCACGCATCAAGGCAATGCTGGAAGCAGAACTGGTCGAGTCTGCGGACATCATCTGCTTGCAGGAGGTCCGCCACACCACAGTGACCCCACGCTGGCTCATGAGGCTGGCATCCCAACGGGGATGGGGTATAAAGCTGTCGACGCCTTCCCCCGTGGACCAACGGGGCACGCACGTCCAGGGCGGCACCGCCATCATGTGGAGGCGCTCCTTGGGGAAGCTTTCCACGTACGCCCACCCGAAAGACCATCGACTGGTGGGACTCCTGTTTGCGGGAGGTGCAGTCGTTTCCGCCTACGGGCCTCGAATGGGTCGATAAAGCTGCGCAGTGGATGGACGAGAAGTTCCACGACAAGCCGCAGGTGCTCATTGGGGACCTGAACTGGAGGGAGATGTGCCGCCAGCTCGTCGCCGACGCCTGGCAGATCGCCGACATGCCCTCCCCAACCACACATGCGAATACCAAGCCTACCCGAGGGCTGGCCCAGGGCTGCTCCATCCAGGCCGCTGGAGTGGAAGCCGTGGCCGGTGTCCCGCACCACAAGCTGGTTCTCTTCGAGGTGGACGTGCCGCTGCCGCCGCGGCCCGCCCAGGAACGCCTGAAACGTACAGCTTTCTACAGTTGGAATGACAATGCTATTATGCTCCCGGCCGATGCGGGAGACATCGAGTCCGCCGTCGATGCCGAGTACCCTGTCCTGGAGGCCTCGTTCCCGCTGTTGGACAGGTGGAAGCGGTGGCACGCTCGGGCTGAGACTGTGGCCCGCCTGGCGTGCAGCCGGGACATCATGGAAATGACTCGCACTGGGGGGCGGCCGAAAGCTTCCCCGCCCAAGTCCCGCCGGTGCGCCGATTCGGCCCAGCACCGGGTGGATGAAACGATCACTCTTCGACAGCTGCGGCGGCTACACCGCCGGTTCACCCACGGGAAGACTGCGGGGGTGGACTCGGAACGCCTGTCACCCAAGCACTTGCACGACTTCGGCGTGGCAGCCCGTCAGGGAGCCCTCCACGCAAAGTGGTCCGACGCCCCGCTGTTGTGGCCGACGTACGCCGCCGCAGTCGACATCATCAATGCCAGCATCACCAAGGAGGAGCGGAAGGGCACGGACGCCCGCGGCCGCCAATGGAAACAACGGTTCACCGAGATCACTCGGGACACTTGGGCCGCCGCCGGCCCTGTCATCAAGCCGGGCCCCGAGGCGCCGACCTTCACCCCCGACTCCATGCGGGCGGAGTGGGAGCCGATCTGGAACCCGCCAGACTACAACCCGGATGCCATCCGGGCAGCTTGGTGCACCTACGCGGACAAGGCCGTCTTCCCGCAGTGTGGGGTTGCGGTTGAATGGATCCCCGAGTACGACGACTTCTCTGCCGCCTTCCAGAAATGCGGCGGGGCGGCGGGCCTCGACGGCTGGTCAGCCGCAGAGGTCAAAGCTTTGACACGGCACTTCGAGTTCTTGAAGATGGAGCTCTACACGTTGTGGGTGGCAACCACACGCGCCGCTGGTGACCCGGCGGGCCTCCCGGAGGCCCTCGTCGACTTCCTCTTCTGCTGGCGGGTGGTGGGGATCCCCAAGCCCAAGACCGACGCCTCCCGGCCGATCTCGGTGGCGTCATACCTCGTACGGACGTGGCTCAGTGCATGCGCGGCCATCGCGCCCCACCCAGTGGACACGCAGTGGGCCACACGCCCCGGAGTCTCCGTGGTACACGCCATCTCTTCTTGGCTGAGTGCGGCGGCGGCTGCTGACGAAGGCTGTGAGCAAGACCTCACAAAAGCGTACGACCGAATCGACCACCTGCTGGCGACAGAGGCCCTGGACCGTGAAGGTCGGCCTCGGCACCTGCAGTGTCTGTTCAGATGTTCCTGGCGGGGCCCCCGGCACTGCCAGGTGGAGGGAGCGCTGAGCTCTTCCCCAATCCGCCCCTGCTGCAGCCTCCCGCAGGGCGGGTCTGACGCGCCGGCCGGCATGGTGGCCACCTTGGTCCCGTGGCAGCCCCAAGACGTGACACCCTTCGCTTTCATGGATGACAGGTCCATGACCGTCGGCGCGCCGGCGGCCAGCACCAAGCTCCGCGATGCCCTCGTGTACACGCAAGACTTCGACACGGCCGCCAACTTCGCCGAGAACGTTGGCAAGAGACAACACTGGACAAAGACCGGAGGTGAACGAGTTGAGCACTTGGGTATCTCCGCTGTGCCGGGCTCTCCAGAGGAGCCCATCGAGCCTCGCTTCGGGTGGGACCCCGTGCGAACGACGCTACGCCGCCTGGGCACACTCCCCGGGTCCGCCAAAGTCAGAGAGTCCCTGACAGCGGCTTACGCTTCGCCGATGTGGTTGTGGGCAGCACCTGTGGTGGCGCCGCCCCCGCCAGACATCACGCCCCTGGTCATGAAGGCCGTGCTGCGCACCGGATGTTCCTGGTGGTGCCGGGGCCGCTGGTGGGCCACCAGACTTTACCTACACCCGCTCTACGGGTCAATTCTTCGCGGACTCAAGGTTGTTCTTGATCCTGAATTCTGTTGGAGTCCCCATGTGGAGACGCAGATACGTACCGCCGTGGATCGGCTGGGGCTCGGCTTTCGAGACTACGACCATTACTTTGGCCTGTGCCTGGAGGTGCTCCCGGGGGACGACCCGCGGGTCCAGAAGGTCACAGACAGGGTACGCCAGGGGCGCTCCTATTTCTGGACGCGGTCCGAAGAAGCGCAGCATTGCGTGAGGCTGGTGTGCCGCATTCGCTGTCTGCAGCAGTGCGCCTCTAATTTGCCGCAACGACGTGGATGGCGTGGAGAAGGTCGACGTGGAGGCCTCCAGCGACCCCCGATGGAAGAAGTTCTCGGAGAGCCTGCCGGCCGCCGAGAAGCAGGCTCTGAACATCTTCCGGTGTGGAGCCATACGCACCCAGACCCGCATCAGCCAGAACACCAGGTGTGCGCTGTGCGGAGCGCTCCACCCGAGTGCCCGGCACCTATGGA